CACTGGGATAATGGTAGCTTCAGCACATGGTTGTGAGGACTCCTCTGTGTCCAACAATTGACAACAAGCCGCCTTGTTGCTACCATCATTATAAAGGAAGAGCACTATTGGCCRGGCAGTATTGGTGCAACATTGGATGGTATTTTAGGTCAATATGTTCATCAAGAATGTATTTCCAAGATGTCAATTGACATCATGACAAAAATTCAATGGAAAAAATGGTGTTGTTGGACAAGATTTTGTGATGTCAGTAGGYGCRCTTGACATATTTTACTCAGGAAAAAGGTAGCCAAAAAGGTATGATTGGTTYGTACATTTGTCCGCCAACTCTATRCAATACCTCATCAACAGTGAGCAGGCAAGTCTCATTTTTCCATGCATCATCCTGTGTTACATTCTTAAATTTTGTCACAATTTAGATAGAAAGCCTATTCCCATTGATGTTAGCTACTGCTGTTCCAGTCATGCCCGTGACARCCAGAATTCTGTTGGAAAAGTTCACTCCCTATTCTTTAAAAAGTATCTTACAATAATGTCAAACAGAATTAATTACTTTTTAGTTCCCAGTACCATCAGCAGTACCATCAGCCCCTGATAGAAACACATGAACTGCTCTTTATTGTTCATGGCTGCCTTGAGATCTTGTATGTACTTTTTGTTGCAGCAATTGCCAATCTTCCCTTGGATTCTCTCCTCTTCTTTAATCAATTGAATTGTTACCTTTCTTTACTACTTTGTTGGTGTTGACTTTGGGACTCCTACTGTGTTTYAGTGCAACTGCCTACTAGTACCAATTACTAGTAGTAGTGGAATTTCCTACCACTTGASTCATCTTTGTTTGATTATTTTGTGGAAGAGTGTCCTAAGATTCAAATAATGTTTGCTTTTTTGGAGGAGAGGCAAATACMAGCACTAGTGTAACTACTGCTAGTATAAGGTTCATTACTTTGTTTCTTTTTCAACATCACTGTCAAAGTGAGTATGAATGTTCTGGGTGCTTTTGTCCACACCTGCTGTGWAATACAACAAATGTTTATGAACCCCTGCTCTTGAAATGTTAGTRCTACTTTTGACTTTGTTGGATGTTCTGCTGGCCAATCACCTGTRAGTAGTCCATATACAATTGCAAAAGGTGGTGGTTTACCCCCAAATAGTTTTGGCTTGGCATCATAAGAAGTAACAGTGAGGAAAGCACAATGGTGAGAAATGYGTTAGTAAGTTTTGCWTTTTACTAATCATGCTTGTCCTGAGTGCTGTGATGTTTGTTGTAGCATGAGTGTAAGTAATGTTAGTACTAACATCAAGTGGACAAGCAAAGTCTTCAAGAAGGTTGTAGGTTAGAAGTAGCTATGTCAGCATTGCTATCTGCTGCCTTGAAAGGAAATTCCTTGCCTTCTAAGCCTCGGGTTTATGTCTTCTAATAAACCCAGCCATGAATCCAGTCTTCTTTGGGACTTAGCCCTTATCATTATAAAATGATGACATCATACTACTACTACTACTAGTAGTAGTTGTTGTTCATTCTCTTTCAGAAAATGAGTGGCCTGATAGCACCTCTACTACTACTGGTGAAATAAGCTTGATATTTGGACAATTAGTAGAGTCAGAGAAGTAGTGAGCTTTTAATAGGAGCCCTGCTGTAAATACTAGAGTTCCCTTTGATTCAGACAAGTAACTGGTCAYTTTGATATGTCCATGCTTGCACAAGATAGCTAAGAGGATAAATGGTTTGGTATTACCCCAAAAWTATTATCAGTTTAAGTTTCACAATTATTTCTGATACACAGAAGTTGTTGGAAAAAAAGATGAATTATGTTGTTATGATTTCATATCTTAAAGTGTCACTGTGTTATTACGTGTCAACAGGTGTGAGTTCTTGAGTCTTGATTAGATCCTTATGTAGACGTGGTACTGGATCTACATAAGGTTCTTTCTATTCTTGACTTGTGACATCATTGTTCTTTTACAATTCACCGTACCTCGTATCTTAGACCTCTGCAACCTCTTAGATTCCTTGGTATGATGGATCATATGATACATNTGTGACATCATTGTTCTTTTACAATTCACCGTACCTCGTATCTTAGACCTCTGCAACCTCTTAGATTCCTTGGTATGATGGATCATATGATACATAGATATGGATGGTACCCTACGGTACCTAGGTAGGAATGGTATGTCCAATCTTATTGGTGGTACTTCCATATCATGCGTATTTGTACTTCCTCATCATATTTATCAGTACTCCCGTATCATAATATCCGTACTTCCTCATCATACGTATCCATGATACTCCTGTATTGTATGTATGTATGTATGTATGTATCCGTTGCATTCCCAAAGAACTCCAATTCTATCATCTGTATGTGAATAAAACCCCATGAGTAAAACAATATTGTTACACAATTTCCATCTGCACCAAGTTAATTGCTGTTGGACCAGCCCACAGTAGCCCATTGTAGCTATCTCAACTCAAGGAAAAAAGAAGAAGAAAATGAACCAAGAAATTTGTAGTAACTCAACTGGTGTGGGAGGGACTGTCCTAATAGTGATGTAAAATGTGTGCTAGTAGAAAAGTGAGTTGATGCTCTTATCCAGGATCGACGAACTATGGAATCTAGAATGGATCGCTGTGGGGATCGAGTGAGATGTGAATCAAATGAGTCAAGTCACTCACGCAAGTGAATGAGATGAGTCACGTCGATCATATGAATCCTAGGGGATCGCGTGAGTCATATATGTATGGTGTGTATGAATCATAGATACGTATCGTATGTAMGWGTCGTATGTATGAATCATACCCACGGTCTGATATCCTACGGACAACAACTGGTGTCAAGACTTCTAGTACTAAGAATTTCCTGCTACTAGTAGTACTACTGGGGAACAAAGAACAAGAAATACAGTATTGCTAGTATTTTTTGAAGCTTTTGATCATGTAGCCAATCCTAATACCACCATTATTAGTCTAGTAGTAGTGGTAGCAATAGAAGAAGAAGAACCACTAGAAATAGTACTAGTACTAGTACTACTAGTACTACTACTACCTGCTGTCTGTAGGATATCAGACTGTGCGTATGACTCATATCTACGACACATACATATGATACGTATCTATGATTCATACACACCATACATATATGATTCACTCGATCCCACTGGATTCATACGATCAATATGACTAATTTCATTCACTTGCATGAGTGACTCGACTCATTCGATTCACACATCACTCGATCCTCAGAGGAGTGATCAATTCTAGATTTCATAGTTCGTCAATCCTCAATAAGAGCATTGACGCACTTTTCTTCTAGCACAAACTTTACATCACTATTAGGACAGTCACTCCCACAGGTTATGACACCCTTCCAATAAAATTCATCACCATCCTCGATAAGAGCATCGACTCACTTT